AATACCAGGTAAGCTGCCAGAACCCTACAGCCTCCAATTGCCAACATAAGAGGCCCCAGCACACAAAGCCAGTGACCAAGACCTAGGCTCCCAACACAAGAAGCTTGGGTCAGTGCCCTCTGCTCCCCAGCAGGAGAGCATAATCTCTTTAAAGGCCAGAGAATAAAGAAACACCATGAGTAAAACGAAACATACAATAGATTCATATTATGAGAAGAGTGAAGATCAAGACAGAAATTCTGAAGAGGACAACATTGTCATCAAACCCACATCTACAACATTAAAAGGGAATATGAACTGGTCTGAAGCCCAAAAAGCCTTCTTAGAAGAGCTCAAGAAGGATTTTAAAAGTCAAATGAGAGAGGTAGAGGAGTCCTTAAAATGTACAATTGGCCAATTGGAAAAAAGTACACTGAAGAAAACAAGTCCCTAAAAAACACAATTGGCCAACTGGAAAAAAAGTACACTAAAGAAAACAAATCCCTTAAAAATACAGTTGACCAATTGGATAAGAAAGTACAAAATCTAACAGAAGAAAACAATATGTTAAAAATTAGAATTGAACAAATGAAAACTAATGACTCTATGAGAGAGCAAGAATCAGTCAAACAAACAAAAAAATGAAAAAATGGATGAAAACGTAAAATACCTCATGGGTAAAACAACAGACCTGGAAAATCAATCCAGGAGAGACAATTTAAAAATTATTGGCCTACCTGAAAATCATGATGAAAAAAAGAGCCTGGACAAAATCCTTCAAGAAATCATAAAGGAAAACTGCCTTGAAGTCCTAGAACCAGAAAGTAAAATAACTATAGAAAGAATCCACCGCTCCCCGCCTGAAAGAGATCCCAAATTGAAAATGCCAAGTAATATAATAGCCAAATTCCAAAATTACCAGATTAAAGAGAAAATATTGCAAGCAACCAGAAAGAAACAATTTAAATATCATGGAACCACAGTCAGGATTACACAGGACCTTGCAGCCTCTACATTAAAAGACCGTAGGGCATGCAACATGATATTCTGTAAGGCAAAGGAGCCTGGAATGCAGCCAAGGATTAACAACCCAGCGAAAATGAGCGTGATTTTTCAGGGAAGGAGATGGATATTCAACGAAAGAGGGGACTTCCAAACCTTCCTGATAAAAAGACCAGAGCTCAACAAAAAATTCGAACTTCAAGTAAAAGATTCAGGGGAGACATAAAAAGGTAAGTGGGACAGAAAGATACAATATGTTGTTAACAAGGGCAAAATGTTTACATCCCTACAAGGGAAGATGACACTTGCAACTCTTGAGAACTGTATTGTTATTACACCATGTTAAAGGAGTATACATAAAGGGGGAGGATATAAGTTGACTTTGATGTAATGATAAAAAAAATATCTAATCAAGTGGGTCAAATGGATCCAAGTAAGTGGATTAGTCTGAGCTAAGAAAACGTACTGAGAAAGGAGGAGGCAGACATGGGTAAATTACATTACAGGAAAAGACACAAAAACCTATTAGAGCAGAGGTAAAGAAGGGAGGGGGATGAGCATTGTTTGAACCTTACTCTCATCAGATTTGGCTCAAGAAAGGAATAACATAATCAGGTATAGAAATCTAACTTGCACTATAGGCAGTAGGAGGGAAAAGGGGAAATAAAAGGGAGGGGGGATAGAAGGGAGGGAAGAAGCAGTAAGGGTAAAGAAGAAGAAAAGGGAAAGAGATAATAGAAGGGAGGTAATTCTCTTTAATGCAATTATTGATTGTTTCTATGACTTGTTTCTTTGACCCACTCATTCTCTAGGATTAGATTATTTAGTTTCCATTTAATTTTAATCTATCTTTCCATGGCCCTTTATTATATGTAATTTTTACTGCAACATGATCTAAAAAGGATGCATTTAACATTTCTGCCTTTTTGCATTTGATTGTGAGGTTTTTATGCCCTAATACATGGTCAGTTTTTGTATAGGTGTCATGTACTGCTGAGAAAAAGGTATATTCCTTTCTATCCCCATTCAGGTTTCTCCAGCATTCTATCACATCTAACTTTTCTGAGATTCTGTTTACCTTCTTAACATCTTTCTTGTTTATTTTGTGGTTAGGTTTATTTAGTTCTGAGAGTGGAAAGTTGAAATCCCCCACTAGTAGTTTTAATATCTTTCCTTCTGTAATTCATTTAACTTCTTTACAAATTTGGGTGCTATACTATTTGGTGCATATATGTTTAGCTTTCATATTACTTCATTGTCTATGGTATCATTTAATAAGATATAATTTCCTTTGTTGTCTCTTTTAATTAAATCTATTTTGCTTTTGCTTTGTCTTAGATCATGATTTCTACCCCTGCTTCTTTCTTTACTTCAATAATAGATGCTGCTTCAGCCTTTACTTTGGGTGTGTGTGCATGTGCACGCGCGCGCTCACGTGTGCATTTAAAATGTGTTTCTTGTAAAAAAAAATTGTCGAATTCTGGGTTTTGTTCGACTCTGCTATTTGCTTCTGCTTTATGGGTGAGTTCATCCCATTTACATTCATGGTTATGATTACTAACTGTGTATTTCCCTCCATCCTGTTTTTCTCCTGTTTATACTTCTCTCTCTTTCTCTCTCCCTCTCTTTCTTTCTCTCTCTTTCTCCCCTTTCTCCCTGTCCCCTCCTTACCAGTGTTTTCCTTCTGACCACTGCCTCCCTCGTTCTTCCCTCTCTTCTATGAGATCCCACCTCCTTTTCCTATTTCCCTCCCCTTCTACTTCCCTATAGGGTAAGACAGATTTCTGTACCCAACTGAGTGTGTATGTTATTCACTCTTTGAGCCAGTAAGGTTCAAATGATGTGCTGTCCCTCCCTTCTTTCCCGCTACTGTGCCTATTCATATTAGATAATTTACTTCATTCTACCTCTCCCTTTCCTCTTCTTCCAGTGCAATTCTCTTTCTCCACCTTTAATTTTTTTATATCATCCCATCAAAGTCAACTTATCCCTGTTCCCATTGTCTATGTATACTCCTTTTAACTACCTTAATAGTAATATTGTTCTTCAGAGTTACAAGTATCGTCTTCCCGTGTATGGAAGTAAACAGTTTAACCTTTTTGAATAACTTATATTTTCTCTTTCTTGTCTACCTTTTTATGTTTCTCTTGAGTCTTGTATTTGAAAATCTAATTTTCTGTTCAGCTCTGGTCTTTTCATCAGGAATGTTTGAAAGTTCTCTATTTCATTGAATGTCCAATATTTCCCCTGAAGGATTATGCTCAGTTTTGCTGGGTAGGTAATTCTTGGTTATAATCCAAGCTCTTTTGCCTTCCGTAATATCATATTCCAAGCCTTCCACTCCTTTAATGTTGAAGCTGTGTAATCCTGATTGTGGGTTTCTTGATATTTGAATTCCTTCTTTCTGGCTGCTTGAGATATTTTCTCCTTGACCTGAAAGTTCTGGAATTTGGATGTAATACTCCTGGGTGTTTTAATTTTGGGATCTCTTTCAGGAGGTAGTGGGTGGATTCTTTCAGTTACTGTTTTACAGGCAGTTTTCCTTGTTAATTTCTTGAAAGATGCTGTCCAGACTCTTTTTTTTTTGATCATGGCTTTCATGTAGTCCATTCATTCTTAGATTATCTCCCTTCAGTCTATTTTCCAGATCAATTGTTTTACCAATGAGATACTTCACATTTTCTTCCTTTTTTTTTTATTCTGATTTTGTTTGATTCTTGATGTCTCATGGAGTCATTAGCTTCCACTTCCCCAAATCTAATTTTTGAGGAATCATTTTCTTCAGTTGGCTTTTGTGCCTCCTTTTCCATTTGGCTAATTCTGCTTTTTAAGGAGTTCTTTTCTTTAGTGGATTTTAGTACCTCCTTTTCCATTTGGCCAGTTCTACTTTTTAGGGAGTTGTTTGTGCTTCCTTTACTAAGCTATTGACTCTTTTTTCGTGATTCTCTTACATATCTCTCATTTCTTTTCCCAATTTTTCTTCTACATCTTTTATTTAATTTTTAAAATCTTTTATTAGCTCTTCTAGGAGTTCTATTTGGATGTAAGAACAATTTAGATTTCTCTTTGAGGCTTTGCATGATATTGTTGTTCTCTTCCGAGTTTGTGTTTTGCTCTTTCTTGTCACCATAGTAGCTTTCTGTGGTTTGGGTTTTTTTTGGAGGGTTGAGGGGCAGAGGGTTGCTTATTTTCCTGTCTATTTCATGACTTTTAAAGTTGAAATCTACTCCTGGCGTACAGGGATCACTGTCCCAAACTTCTTGCACTGGGGACCAGGGGCTTAACCCACTGTCCTGCTGCACCAGGGTCTCTGGGCCTGGACATTTTGCCTGCTGCATCAGGGATACCAGGTCTGCTCGGCTTGGCCACTCGCCTGCTGCACCAGATGTTGGAGGCTTTGCAGCTGGCCCACTAGACTGCTGGCTTGCTGTGTCAGGTCTGTGGGGCTGAGGTTGCTAACCTCCACTGGGGCTAGGAGACCCTTCCTGGCTTGCCCAGAAATCATCTCACTGGACTGTGCTCCCCTTCCTGCAAGTCAAGTTGTCTTGGGCTGGAAAATTGTTTTGCCGTGTCCTTTTGTGTGTTCTGCTGCTTCAGAATTTGTTTTGAGCCATTACAGTTGTTTGGAAGGGAATTTGAAAGAGCTTAGGCAAGTTCTTGCCTTTTCTTCAAAATTTAAATTTATAACAAATTCAAAGTTTCTTTTAATATAAGTATTCAAGAGTAATTGCTGGCAGCAAGTTCCTCCTTGTTTCCAGTGTACATCTTCTTGGCTTCAATTTAGGCTTTAGAATCATCGACCTTGTAGCTAAGAAGAACCAGATATGTCATCTAATCCAGCCTCTTCATTTTACAGATGAGGAATTTGGGGCCCAGGAAGTTTAAGTGAATCACCAAGGTGGTTAATGACTTAGATTTGAACCTAGACTGTCAGACTCCACCCTTACTGTTTTCTCTATTATACCACATTTCACTCCTATTAGACAAGTCTTCAAATACCATTTACTTTTTCTTTCCAGAAGAGTTGAAGGATTCAGACACTTTACCTGTATATGATGTCCTGATGTTTTGTGCAAGTAAGAATACAGACAGAATTCATCTCTATACTAAGGTAAGCTTTGCTGGGATATTTGGCATATTTTTTGTCTTACTTTTTTTCACATTTTAGTAAATATGCCTGATATGCTTTCTAGTATATCATTAGTAGGTCTTTGTATTTTTTGACCCTTCAGGGTTTATAAAGGGTTTGAAATTTAAAATGTCTTTTAAATTCCATGACAACCCTTTTTTTTAATCCTTTTTTTTACTATCCTTTTAGTACAGATGAGGAAATGAGATTCAGAGCGGTGATGTCAGAAGTTAGCTGAACATCAGAGGTGAGATTAGGATGCAGGTGCCCCCTTGACTTCATTTCCCAGCCCTTTTTCCACTACATAATGTTGCCTCAGATTCTCTTCTGTTCCCCTGTTCACACTCTGAAATTCCTGCCTGAAAATGAGGCAAATGTTCTCAAACTACCTACTATAACTACTATGTGTATTTAGGTGATCTTTTGTCTATAACAACACTCTTAATACTATGGATGCTTCCTGTTTAGTTTTAGATCTCAGATTACCAATTAATCTTAAATGCAGTACCTTCCTAACAACTTGGGTTGCTTTTACTTTTTATTAGACATATATTGGAGTTATGAATTTTTTAAATTGATAATCTGTAATAGGGCATTGTAGCTGATCTGAAATTCAGTTGTAGATTGTTCTGTTTTGCTTTGCTTTGACATCTCTGTTTTCACCAACTTAGAAAATTTTGAATAACTCTTTGGGAAATCATAGCAAGAGACAGTGTGACACAGTAGATAGAGAGCCAGCCTTGGAGGACCTGACTTCCAATCCTTCCTCTAAAATGCTGTGTGACTCTGGGCAAATCATTTAACCACTTAATGCTCTAGGCACTTCATTAAGTTCAAGGAGTTCCCTATATAATTGAAATCACATATATATTCCCTTTCTTTGTAATCATAGTACTACTTTATCTGGCATCATAAGCATCCTTTTGAAAAAATACCAATTTTTTTTATATCACCTTTGATTCCTAATGTATCCTTCCCCTACCCAGAGAGTTATCCCTTATAACAGAATATATGAAGAGGGAAAAAAGTTCAGCAAAACTGACCAATATATCTTTTAAGTATTTTATGTTGTGTTGGTACCAATTGTTTACTATTTATGCAAAGAAAGAAGGGAGAGGTATTCTCATATGTCATTATAATTTAACAGCATTCAGTTTCATTTTGTAATTGTTATTTCCATTTATTGTGGTCTCCATATATATTGGTCTTCACATATTTCTCTGGTCACATTGTATTCATCATTTCCTGTGGTACAGTAATATTCTGTAAAATTCAAGTTCTACAACTTGTTTAGCTTTTCCTTAATCGATGGGCATCTACTTGGTTTCTAGTTCATTTTTGCTGCAAAAAGTGCTGCCATAAATAGTTTGGCATATATGGAACATTTTTTATCATTCACCTCCTAAGTGTGTATATACCTAGCAATAGGGTTTTAGGTATGGATTTTTTAGTCACTTTCTTAGCATAATTCTAGGTTGCTTTTCAAAATGGTTGGAACAATTCACAGCTCCCCCAATAACATACATTAATTAGTTTGCTTGTCTTTCCATAACTTTTCCAGCATTCCTGTCTTTCGACGTCTTAACCAATTTGCTGAATATGAGGTGAAACTTCAGAGTTGTTGTGATTTGTATTCCTTATATTATTGGTGATTTGATACAGTCTTTCATAATTGCTGTTAATAGTTTACAATTCTTTTTTTGTTAATAGTAGTTAATAGTTTGCATTTCTTCTTTTTAGGATTCTTTGGTTATATCTATTAGGGCAATGGCTTTTGATTTTATTTATTTGTGTTCCCTATATATCCTGAATATCAACCTTTACTAAAAACATGTGGTGTGAGGTCCACAAGTATTGTACACTGCCAAGGTTTTCTGATTTGTTCAGTGTATTAATAATACTGATTTTCCCTCTTTTTCTTAATAAAGTGTTACTTATTATATGGTATGGTTCTCAGGGAGAAACTATAGTGATTTTTTTTTAAGAAGACACAAAAGATAGCAATAAAAACCTTTTTTAAAAGGTCTCTTAAAAAAAAAGTGATACATAGGGTTCCCCCTGTATCATGCCAGTTAAAGCAAATATTTTCAATTTAACATTTATCAGAATTATTTTTGTGTGTGTGTGTGTGTGATACCCCCTATTTGATTAAGAGTGATTTTCATAGCCTTACCTGTGAAAGGTTCTTGATTTGGTTCTCTTATAACTTTTATATGGTATGGCTAATATTCAGGTCACGTATCCATTTTGTGCTTATTGTGGTAGATGGTGTAAAATGTTGGTCTGAAACTAATTTCTGTCAAACTGACTTTCATTTCTCCCAGCAATTCTTGTACAGTAAGATCTTCTGCAAGTAATATATGTTCTCCAGGAAGTTATCAAACATTGGGTTATTGAATTCAATTTTATCTGACTCTTCCTTATCAACTCTGTTTCAAAGATCTGCTTTTCTATTTTGTTTTTAACAATAGCATTTCATTTTGATGGTTACAGTTTTGTAGGATAAATTGAAGTATACAAATGCTGTTCTCTCTTCATTGTTTCTCATTTTTTAGTATTTTCCATGAGATTCTAGATCTTTTATTCTTCCAATTGAATTTTGCTATTATCAAGCATTTTAAAATTAGCCAGAGCTGTTATTGTATTTTTTGTTTTTATTCATAAATCAGTTATTTTGAGTAAATCTTATTAATTCATATCCTCGTCTCTGATTTCATGTCCTCACTTACATGGCTGGCCTAAAAATTTACATAGCATTTTCTCAATTAAAATAATCTTACTATTATTGTTTATTTTATTTTTGCCATTTTTTAACAGCTTCACCATGGGGATGCTGAGAGCAAGTGGGGACAGATGGGTACACTCAGGTGGGGAGGTTTGTGCCCCAATATAAACCCACAGTTTTCCACTTTGTATGGGATTCCTTACGGGACATTGAACTTTGGAATCAGCTGCACAGAGCTCCTTTTTTTCTGACTGGTAGAGTACAGTTTCAGAACTGCCAAAGGACATCCTGAGTTTGAATCTTCTCCAGCATAGACTACACAACTCTGGGCCTATCTTCTCAATGGCCTAGACAACTCCCTTAAGCTGTATAGTTCCATAAAATTAGTGTAAGTTGCAGAACAGTTGCTGGTTATTATTTTTGGAAGGTATTTCTTCACTGGGAGCTCCTTAACTTAAAATCTGGACAGAAAAGGAAAGTACCACTTCATAGGCTTGTTATGAAACTCAAACAATTTAATGAATGTAAAGTATTTTGCAAAACTTAAAAGTGACGCTTAAATTTTCATAGCATCAGAGGTCTAGAAAGGATTTTAGAAGTCATAGAATTCAGCCCCCCATTTTCAGATAAGGCCATTGATGGCCCGAGAAATTAAGTGAGTTGCCCAGGATCTAGAGCTAATAAAGTATCTGAAGATGAGATTGAAACCCAGGTTTCCCTGACTCCTATTCTAGCACTTTATCCATGACGTCAGACTGCCTTATACAAGTGTAATTTTTTTCAAATACATACCAGGAAGAATTGTTAAGATATGTGAGATGTTTTGGTTTTTACTATTCTTTGTACAATCAGTTTTCATACATATAGGTTTTCCTTTCTTTATGAAAAAAAATGCTACTACTGATTTTCAGCTAACTTCCTGACCATGTATGATATTTTTAATCACTTAAATTCTTGAATTCCATTCATCTGATGAATTCCAAAGATAATCCACCCCCATTTGTCTGTATTGCACAGTATGTGCATTATAAATTATCTCTAATGTCCAAAATGTTTTCCTTCCCATGGCTTTGAGGAAACTGCTTTGTAAATAGTAAAATATTATGTAAGTTGATTTTTTGTTATGTTATTAGAATTGTAATGTGAACTAATTATCAAATAGCAAACTGTAATGAAGGTAAAATTTTCATGACCACCATTTTTTTTATTCTTAATACTATTGCCCCCACTCTTTCTATTTGAGGATGGAGAATCAAGAATAGGCCATTGTGTTATGCTTTTGAATGATGATAGGAAATAACTCACTTTCAAATAGCACTTTATTGAGTACAAAGTACTTTCATGTGTATGATCTTGTTTCATCCTAACAGCATTCTGTGAGATAAATAATATAGGTATTATTATTTTATAGAAAAAGAAATGAGTTCAGTAATGTGCCAAAGGTCAACCAGTCCTGTGCCTAAGCTTGTAAAGCTAGTACTTGAACCCAGCTGAACATAGACATCAGGTCTTTTCTGACTCCAAATCCAGTTTCTAGTTAACTTTCCGTTATCAAAATGCTCACCTAGTAGAAGTCTGCATATGAAAGTTTCAAGATTTCATCCATATTTAACTTTAAAAATGAGATAAGGAGGGGCAGCTAGGTGGCACAGTGGATAAAGCTCCAGCCCTGGATTCAGGAGGACCTGAGTTCAAATCTGGCCTCAGACACTTGACACTTACTAGCTGTGTGACCCTGAGCAAGTCATTTAACCCCTATTGCCTTGTAAACAAACAAAAAAAAAAGAGATAATATTCTTATACTTCTGAAGCCCTTTATTTTGACACATTTTCCGCAGAATGTCAAAGAAGGATGAGGATTGGACCATTGATTCCATTGGCCTAGGGAACACCTGGTTGAGGAAGCTCCCTCTACCATAGGGAAATGCCTGGGACACTGAAAAATGGAGTAATTTGCCCTGAGTTGGACAGCTAATATGTGCCAGGAGAGGGATTTGGATTCAGGTCTTCCTCACTTCAGGATCAGCTTTCTAATACTATTCCCTGCTGCCTCTCATGTCAAAGAGAAGAATATAAAATTATACCAGAGTAGCATCCTTTCATAAGCGTTGGCATGAATTTAGCTGGTATGGACGTACTGTTCGGTATGGACTCTGGTTTCTGCACCTTGGTTCAGGAAGCACTCCTTTATGGCCTCTTCTTCCTGGCACCCCTTCTAAAATAGGCTTATATTAGTTTATCCTTTAGGTGACTGATGGAAATGTTATGTCATATTGTAATGCCAAATCAAAACAAAGAGTTGTTTAACGCCCATGGACAAAAATTGACTAATATTTTTCTCTCAATTGATAATCAGAATGGTGAGCAAATGAACTGCAATTTCATTCCTTTGGATGTAAAATTAGACCTCTGGGAAGATTTACCAGCATGTTTTCAACTGAAACAAAACCGTTCACTGGTAAGAATAATAGTCCTAAACATTCACCTAAATACGTTTTATGTTTAATCCTTTTAATGATCCTCTTGTGTTTAATAAATGTAAAGCAATTTGTGACATTATTGCAGATTCTAATTGTTGGCTGCATTTTCATCAGTTCAGGCACATTATTAATTACCACCGGTGCTAATAATAAGCACAAAATCTGTTTCTTTGGCAAATGATCACACCTACAGTTACTGTTTCTGTGGAAAGAATCATCTTCACATAGTTTTCTTTCTCATTTACAGGATTAGCAACTGTGGTGTTTGTCTCTGACAGAATCACATTTTATCTTAAAGGTTAGGCTCTAACAGTGATACATTGTGAGAGTGGGAGAAATTTCATGTTGGGTAATTCTCAATTAATTGTAAGGATCATCTAAGTGCAACTTCAGGCCAGGTACAGCCCAGAAAGGCCTTCAGTCTGATCTGTGGCTGCATTTATCTTTCTTGCAAAGAGAGGTTAGCTTGCATTGTTAACTGATCCCAGCACGCAGGACAGTGCTTTGTAAGTTATAAAGTATCAAGCATAATGACAATCTGTATGGGAACAATATTTTTTTACCCTTTGAATGAGAATGGCATCTTGCCCCCTGGAATACATAGTTGACAGAGGTTACACATCTGTCTTAAAAGAGAAAATAGTTGTGATATCTTCTCTTTGATGACTTCTATCCCTGCCTCTCAAATTTTTAGCACATAGCCAATGTTGTCCAGGTAGTTGTTGACTAAAATGTAGGTGGTGCCCTGAAAACTATTTTGTCCCTTATCTATTTGATGGCTTTTTTATTTGAAGAATAATTTGATCTAGGTGCAACAAAGCTATTAAATTCTTACTCACTGGTAAATGTAACATTTTGTTAAATATTAGCTCCACCATCATTACAATACCTGTTTTGACCATTTCTGACCTGGCCATTGTAAAGTATGTGTTCAAATAGCCAGATTAGACTTGGGTGAGTGTCCTGTATTTGGATGTTGGTGACAGGATTGTAAATGTAGAACCAGAAGAGACGTGAGGGTCATGTAATCCCCCTCTCTCCTTCTGCAGATAAGAAAATCAAGGTCCTATGAACGTAAGTGACTGTCCCTACTGATTTCCAGGCTTGTTGAACCTATTGTGGCGTGCCTATAAATTTACCTTTAGAAAACTCTTATGGTAAATGAGACTTTTGTGTCACAGAGCTGGCTATAGGAAATTCCCCTCAAAAATACCTGATTAAATAAATCTGTCATCATTGCACTCAAACTATTGTTTTGAAGATAACATCAAAGTATTGGTTTTCCACCTGCTTCACCTGGCTCAGTTACTTAAGGAGGATCACTGCCTGATGTTCATTGGCTTATGATCTGCTCCTCTGCTTTTTTCAAAATCTCATTCTCTGCCAGATTTTGAAGTTTGTACGGGAGTGGAACTGTCTCACAGCCATGAAGCAAAGAATTATCAGGAGAAGTGGCCATATCTTTCACAGCCCTATTCTGGCTTTGGATGAGATAACAAAGCAACAGACTAAACAAAATAGTACCAAAAGGTATGAATTTTCCCCCACTTTCTCTCTCCTTTTTTGTGATCATTTCCATAGGAGTAATCAGTCACATAATAGTAAGTTATACATTAGCAGCTTGTTTTTGTTATTGTTCAGGCATATCCAACTCTTCATGTCCACCTTTGTGTCCAACTCTTCATGGCCCCATTTGGGGTTTTCTTGACAAAGATAATGGACTGGTTCACCATTTCTTTCTGCAGCTCGTTTTACAGATGAGGAACTGACACAAACGGGGTTAAGTGACTTGACCAGGGTCACATAGCTAGTAATTGTCTGAGGCCAGATTTCAACTCAGGAAGAGGAGTCTTCCTAACTCCAGGTCTAGTACTTTATCCACTGTACCAGCCAGGTGCCCCAACAGCTTGTTTTAGAATTATATAATTAGATACTTTGTAAATTTTCTCAGAAACAATAGAAGAGGGCAACCTGCCTGGTTCTTGATCATGGTAAGATCTATTTAGGTAATACTATGTATGTCCAAAGGTTGTTAATAATAACTCATATTTCTATAGTTCTTTCCCTAAAACAGCTCTGTGAATTAAAGACTTCATATTTTACAGATGAGAAAACAATCTAAGAAAGGTTAAGTTACTTATCCATGATAACACAGCTAATAAGCATCAAAGTTAGGATTTGAACCTAAATGTTCCCTGACTCCAAGTCTAGCATTCTACCCAATCTACCTCACTGTCTCCACTGTTGTGAGGAACACCCTGTAAATGTCAGCTATGGATATCACTTTGTCAGTTTTATTCTCTTGTATGGTCCCAAATATCTTGGGAAAATGGGTTAAAGAATAAAATAGGGAAAAATGAAAGGATTTTGAGCAGATGACATAGACTGGTAGTGGACCCATTCAGTGCAGTTGGGTGACTTCTAGCACTGGTCAGCCACATGGGAGTGGAGGTACAGTGATGAGTGTCACAGGGTTTGGTGGTGGTACAGCCCTAGGATGACCCCTTCGCCAAAACTGCCTTATAGCTACCCCACCAGCAACATATTAAAAAAGCAGGGATCAGTGACTTAGTGTCCTGCTTTTGAAATATTGCTGACTCCTTTGTAAATATAAAATTTGTTTGTTCCATGTCAATACTTTTAGGACCTATGATTTTGTTTGTGTAGATTGCAACTAATTGTTAATTTATAATCTTGGAGAGTTGCCTAAGGCCCAGAGGGGATATATGACTTGCTCATCGTCATGTCACTAGAAAATGTCAGAGGAGAAATTTAAGCCCAGGTCTTCGTGAGTCCATACCCAGCATTCTGCCCTCTAATCACATGGCCTTAGTTGTTATAACCTTAAATAATTTAGATTCAGCATTTTCAGTGTTGTATATTTTTTTCTTTCTCAAATATTGCTCTAAAATCTTATTTCTATTCACTGTTTATTTTGGTTGCTTTCTTCTTCTTAACTTTGCCCTGTATCATTTCTGGAAGCTTAAATTTTTTCCTGTGCTATATTTTCCTAAATTTTTTCCAGTGCCACCTGACTCAAACATGGTGGTAATTGTGCTCAAGAGCAGGGCTTCTTAAACATTTTCCACACGCAACTACTTCAGCTCTTAAACTGTCGAGACCCACAGTTTAAGAAGCACTGCCTAGAATCTAGGGCTCTGTCTAACTTCCATGAAAACCTTTAGATTCTCTGATTTGTATGATTTTTCAGATATTTATTCATGGAACTCTTACAGAAAAAATAAAAAATTACTCTGGTTCCCAAGCCTCTGAATAGATTCTTTATTACCTTTTTAAGTCAGTGAATTTGATTTTTCAAGCTGTTTCATTAAAACCTGAGGCAAAGCTTAATAACATCCCTCTTCCTCTCAAAATTAGGAGATCTTTCTATTATCAACAAGAGATATTTTGAATTTATTTGTATGGCAAAATATGGCAGAGAAGTGCTACTCTAGGGGATAAAATAGCTGAATCAATGGGGGAAAATTAAGATAAAGAGTTAAATTTAGGGAACCCTAGAGAAACACATTGTGATTTGATTTTGATGAGATTATTACCAACTTGTTGGACTCATAAGATATGGTAGTAGTCAAGATTATATAAAAATGTGTTAAGTTTCAACTCCTTTTTAGAAAGGAAAAAATCTGAGATGTAAACTACCCAGAGAAACTAGGGCATGCTAATTAAAAGGAATTAATTGGGTAATTGCATTCCACCTACTTAAATTCCCCTGTTGCTTTAATTGAGAATAACATTCTTCTTCATTTCCGGTCTCTAAACTGTTGTGTGGTATCAAAAGTGCTGGGTAATAAGTTTCTGAATTCTACTTCAAGGGTGGCTGTATTTTAATGGAAGGTACAGTGAGCCCTATATGTGCTGGTAATTATGAAAATGACCTTCAGGTTTTCAGAAGACAGGATTCAAGTCAGTAAACTAAAAAAGGACCTAAATAGTGTATTATAACAGATTGATACCCCTTTACATTTGATTACATAAATTTAGCAAAGCTTAAAAAGGAAGGTCAAGAAGGAGGGTAGGTGAACTAAAGTTAGAGGATTTATTCACAGCACAGGAAATTGGATACCCAAGAGTGGTGGCTACTCTTGTGTACTCAATAAAGTTAAATGGTACATTTCTTACTGATACCCATGCCCTTTTTGCTTTTCTAAATGAACATTTGTCAAATAGATATAAATGGTGTTTGCATATCTTAGGTGCAAAATCATGCAAAAGATAGTTTGGAAGGAAAAGATGTGTATGTGTATATATATCTATATATGAACCCCCCTAATGAAAATTTGCTAACAAAGTAAATTCCATTTTCAAATTTCAGACCTGGTAATACTCTGTCTTACATTTTTCTATCACTGATATTGCAAAAATAATCTAAACATGATAGGGAAGAAGTGTATATTTGTTTTAAACTGTGATATTATAAAAGAGAAAAAATTTAAGTAACTTTCCATTATTCCAGATACATAACTAAAGAAGATGTTGCAGCGGCTGCTGTGAACAAAGTGCAGAGTGATGGGGGTAGCATCCGTGTGATCACAAAGGAATTCAGGTTTTCCTCTAAAAACCAAACCTCTTCTGCTGTAGAAACATGGGAAACTACTATAAAGTAAGTTTTTCAATGCTAATAAGATACATCATTATACCTTGCCATTTCTGTGGAATTTTTCAAAGTAATTGTATATATGTTAGCTCATTTGAACCTTATACCCTGTATGAGGAGCTCAGGTAGGTGTTGTTATTCCCTATTCAGTAATTTAAAATGTAATCAGAAAATATATTTTTCTTTTATTCTAATACACTGAGCAGATGAGTAAATGCGTTCAGTTTCTAATTTGAGTATAATCAACTCTTAACTCATTTACAAATAGACTGATATTCATCAGCACATCTTACTTTTAAATTTTATTAATATCACCACCTTCTTTACTTAATTGCTTTAGTGATATTAAGAGGAACTTCGTTTCTTTTAAGAACTAAAAGAAAAAGTTTTTTAAACCAAGAAAAGAAAAGAGAAGAAAAAAGGAACCAAACCCTGTCTTTGGAAGGTTTGAATCAGAAAATATTGTTTCTAAATTTCTTTTCATTCCCATATTTATTATTTATTATAGGGTTGTTGCATCTTATTACATTGATATGCAAAAGTTTACTCAACCATTTCACAAATTGTTGAATATTTAGTTTCTAGTTCATTGCAGTTCCACATAATTATAAGATTCAAAGTTTTATCTTTGTGACTTATTATCTCTGTTGCCTGAGAGTCCTCCAAAAAGATTCTACCCATTTGCAGTTCTACTAGCAACGTATGAGTATAATTTCTCCAAAATCTATGCAGCTATTTTTTTCCGATTTGATAAATGTGGAGCATGAACCAGAAAATTTAGGGAGAATTTGAGAGGTTAACTTTAATGTTGGCTAGTGTTATGCAGCAGTCTAAAAGGAGTGAGTCTTTTTCTCTATGGAAAAGGAAAATGGGGCCAGAAGCAGAAACTGGAAGTTTTCTTCTGTCTTAATCCTTTTTATTATTTGTTTCAAAGTGTTTTAATTCCCAGAACACCCAAAATACTTAATATTCAAAGGTAAATAGAAGTAACTTCTAAAGCTAAAAATGAAATTTTAAACATTATTTTGCACTGCTTTACCTTCCTTGATACAGATAATGAAAGAATGGCTATAGATTATACCACTGGATAACTGGTACAGTGCCTGGCACATTATTGGTACTTAATAAATGCCAGTTCACTGACTATGCCCAAGAACCTTGAATTTAATATAGGTTTATTCATTCAGACATTCCCATACTATATTATAGAATACTTACTAGAGTTATTATACTTCAATACAGGTTAGATTTTGCAAGTGCAGATGAAATAATAATAATATATAACAGGTATAACAATAATAACGTTATTGTTGTTAACATTTATATAGTGCCTACTATGTCCCAAACACTGTGCTAAGTTCACTTTACAGTTATCATCTCATTTGATTCTCATAACCTTTTCTCTGGTTGTTCATTCATTCATGCATCAGGCATTTATTTAGTACCTACTATATGCAAGGTGCTCTGACAGGTGCTAGGGGCACAAAGTCAAAAATATAACAGCCTCATCCCTCAAGGAGGGAATGTGTGAGATATACACATACTAATAAATACAAGATGGATGCAAAATAAATACAAAGTAATGTCAAGAGATGGCACTAACAACTGGAGGAATTGGGAGAGTAATCTAATAGAAGAGGGCATTTGAGCTGACCTTCAGAGGGAGTGTTAGAGGTTCTAGGGGACAGATGAAGGAGAAAAGAGCATTCCATCCACAGGGACAGCCTATGGAAAAGCCTGAAGGCAGGAGACAGAACATTTGGTACTCGTGTCAGCAAGTAGAGTCATTTGGCTGGAATGTCAAATGTGTGAGGGAGAAGTGTGTGCTAAGTCCACAGACAGAGGCTGTAGCCAACTGGAGAAGGGCTTTGCAGGCCCAACAGAGGTGTTCATATTTTATCCTAAAGGCAGTACAGAATCATTGCAGCTTCTTGGGCAGAGGAGTGACATGGTCAGGGCACTAAATTCCAACCCTTCCACAACTTATTAGGTGGTTATTATGTACCCCTTCCCACCCCCAAATGCATCACATGACTCACCTTCTTGATGAGCCTGTCCAGACTTCTGTGGGCCCAACCTTGAATGACAGCTAGAATCTGTTGCCAGCCTGTGCACACAAAGGTGGTTAGGGATCGACAGAACTTTTCTTAGCTGGCAAAGCCTTGGGGCACCCAGGGTCCAGTCACCTTTTTGGTATAAGGGGCCAGCTAAGTAGTACTTTTCCGGGAAGATGAGAGTTCTAACTTACAGCATTTGTTCTCTAAAAGTTTCTCTGACTTCTTCATTCTAGCCCAGTCCAAGGTGATCTCACCACACAACCTTCTACATCTAAGGGATTTTTGCAGGCTGTGGATATTGAAGGAAATCCACTTTGTCTCCACTGTCAACAACGTACTTGCCAATCTGGCCAACAGTACAAAGTGAGCGCTTGGGATTCACGGTTTTGTTCTCAGAAATGTCAGGAGGAATTTTGGATTCGATCAAATAATAGCTATCTGCGTGCTAAAGTATTTGAAATTGAGCATGGTGTGTGTCAGCTTTGTAATCTGAACGCCCAGGAACTCTTCCTTTCTCTCAGAGATGCTCCTAAAAATCAACGGAAGAATCTTCTACAAACCACTTGGATCTCAAAACTCTCCATAGAACAGGTAAAACATAAAAATACCGTACTCTTATGAGTGGGGGTGGGGGTGGGGAAGCAGCCTAGTTCTCATTGGCAACAATGAAATGGTGATTTTGAAATACAAAGTTGTAGGAGCAAGAAAACCTAAGAAAGCTCAAAGTACAAAGCGTTATATTGAGAACATGGCTGTGTTTTTGTTGTGTTGTAAAATGTAATAAAACTGAAACATTTATGACACATTATCATCATAGTTCAATTAGATTTCTGGCTAGATTTCTAAGGTCAAGAACTAATATGAAATTTCAATCTAGAACAAATTTTTATACTTTATTGTATGGCTAAACAGTGATTACTTTTTAATGAACTACCCAGCTGACTAAAATGCTGGTAATTTTTTTCAATTAAAAAAAAAAGAATACATTTTAATTTACTTAATAATATTGAGTTGTAATTGGATTAGTTAGTAAGCATTTTTCTAGATTAAAATGGACATTATAATCTGGTAAAATATTTCAGCTGGAATTTTTGTGTGAATTTTTGGCCTTTATGGGTCTCTGAAAGACATGACTTAATTGCAGAGGGTCATGCCAGATTTAATATAGGAGTGGAGTATCTGCCCAGGAGAGCAAATCTCTAGCTCTCTCTCTTGCCTAAGTCTATATGCTTCTAGGATACACCAAAGAAAAATAACAAAAAAAATTTCAAAATAGCATCAGAAAGTACAAAAATATGTCATATAAATAAAACATTTTACAGCTCACAGAATACAGGTTAAAAGCTTCTGATCAAGTAATAGCACTAATCAGGCAGAGTTTCTAAGAAGTATGTTCCAGAGGCATCTAGGTGACACAGTGGATAGAGCACTGGATCTCTAGTCAGAAAGACCTGAGTTCAAATCCAACTTCAGATCCTAGGCAAGTCTACCTCAGTTTCCTCATCTATAAGACAGTGATGATAATAATAGCACCCACTTGCCAGGGTTGTGAGGATAAAATGAGACCTTTGTAAAGGGTTTTGCTTACTGCAAAATTCTAGCATTTGCTGGCCATTATGATTTTATATTTTATTAATATTATTAAGGTAGTGGTCATGGGGACTTCATTAGATCACTCAGAAAATAAAATGAAACTCCCCTGGAGTTGGAGCATTCCTTATTATCCCTAGAATTCTTTAAGTAAAGTGGGTACACCCCTTGTCAACGATTTAGAGGGTATCCCTGCTTCAAGTAGGGGTTGGACTAAATAGTAGGTACTGAGGTCATCCGTTCCAGCTCTAAAGTTCAAAGAGTCTGTGACTCTATGGTTAGTGTGAAGAAATGTGCCTCAGTGGGAGCATATCAGTGAGCAGTAAGGGATCATGTTAAGATCAGAAGGGTCTGTCTAATTGGATACTGCTCACAGCAAAGAAATGTGAATTAGTTGAAGCCCAGATAGATTTTTTTTTTTTAAGGAAAAAAAGCCATTTTGCTGAGAACCATAATACTGTTCTTCATATTTGCTTCTGAGAGTGCCAGCACACACACACACACACACACACACACACACACACACACAGAGGAGATTGGCCCATATGGGCATCTGAAGTGTGTGTGTGTGGATGTGTGTGTGTGTGTGTGTGTGTGTGTGGATGATCTGACAGAATTTGAAAATGTTAGTGTTATAGTTAGTTATAGTCTTCCAAATAATGGAAGACTATAACACTAAAGCTGAATATCTGTGCCTGATTCAACTGAAGTGTACTACCTGGACTTCTTAGCCAAACCATTATTGATCAAGTCATTGTCCATTGTAGTTTCTTATGAGTCATTTAGAGCTATGCCATAGAATTTCATGGCTGCCAAAATGGCAGATTTTGCTAATTTTAGTTTCTTCCAGGCTCAAGAAGAAGAAAATAAGAACTACCTTTAATAGTCGTCTTAGTTAAATTTAAACATCACCACTGCTGTGTTCTGATTTAGATTTGCTACCCCAGGCAAGATGGTAATATTGCATACTATTTCAATGTAGGTCATTGTTGGTTAAATATAAAGTGTGCATATATGGGATGGCCTAAATGGAGGTTATTTTAAATGGTAAACTCAGTATATTTCAAACAAGGATGCTAAAGAAATTTGTATTTAAAATGAGGTTCTAGCCTATATACCTTTGTAAGCTGACCTTCCTTGCTTTCCTAGTGAATAGTATGCCTCTGAATTTATCTCAGAGTTGGCTAGAATTGAGGCCACTTTTACTTCTGTTGAAAACTATTAATATTTAAACTGTCATTGATAAAATAGCAAAGGCATTTAGGTCAGCAATTAAAAACTGCTTGGGTCAGTTATATGCAAAAGCACTTAATTTCCAATCTGTTCCTTTCTTTTCTAAGAATTTTGCTTCATTAAGTATGTAAACTAACTCAAAGGTGCAGTTGCAAGTGATTTTTCCAATCTGTCGGGAGTCTGATACTTTGTACTTACTTGTAAATTCTATCAAAATGAGTTAGGTGAAAAAAAAATCCTTCTTTCAACAACAGATTTCTTATTGCCTGCAAGGAATAAACCAAATTGCTAACCCTGAGGTTTTTTTCTGTGCACAATAAAAGCTATAAAAAGCCATAGTAATGTATTTTCCCTGGGATTTTGCTGTATAAACATGATTGCACAATGCCAAGCCAACAATTACTCTAGTGTATGGTGTATAGCTGAAAAGTGCTGATGTGTTATGTTTTTATTGCAGTTAAATGAGATGATGATAAACCCTGTAGAAGGGCAGTTCTGGCAAGTGGATCACGTCCGACCAGTCTACAGTGGAGGAGGGCAGTGTGCTCTGGAAAACCTTCAGACTCTATGTACAGTTTGTCATAAAGAGGTGAGTCCAAGTTTACACATCTTTACCTCTCTTCCCTGGGAAGTGAAAATATCATTTGGAATATATTTTTGCAAACTTATGAGAAAGAATCTGTATTTAAGATGACTGATCTGGTCTAGCAGAGAAATGATACTGTTTAACTCCATTGTCACCTAATTCAGTAAGCTACACCTGCTAGCCTTTAAGAGCTGGTGCTCATTCTCGGTAACAGATAGACTGAAACATGTAGCAGTAAAGCTAGCTTTGAGATAGATCTTCTGGTCCAGACCCTTCATTTGAAAGGTGAAGAAACTGAAACCCAGATAGGTGGAGTAATGACCCAGTGAGAGACACAGGGCTAGAGCTACAGTCACTGGTTCCCTAGTCCAGTGCTCTGGGCACTGACATGCTCTCGCCCTTCCTCCCGAGAGAAATGCATCCCTTTTCATGTATTTTAGGAACAAGGTATTGTTCCTGGCTCTTGTGATGATTTCTGCTGCTCTTCTCAGTAGCTCTTTCTAATCGAGATACAGGTGGGATCCCAGTAGAGTCAGATTACCCACAGCAAGTCTGAGGAAGAGCTAACATGTGACCAGACAACATCACAGGTTCAACCTCAGTTGTGCACTGAGAGATAACAAACAAGCAGATCCCTAAAGGCACCCCAGTCTCCCACAAACACAACAAGCTCTGCAAGAAGTAGGACAAACAGAAGAAGAAAAGAAAGATGCTGGCACCAGATGTAGCTGGGCTCATCGATCTTGAATGTGTGATTCCATAGAGACCTCAGACTTGTTTAGAGCCACCACGTCAGCATCCACAGTGATGTCTAAGAAGACGACTCTTAAGTTGAGAGAGCTGGTAGTTCTAAGAATCAGCAAGATTATGTATTTGTACTTCTTTGAACCCAGGGTAGCTGCATTAGCTTGGCATGTTGGGAGGGATTACGGGGCTTTTGTAAACATCTGTAGTTTTCTGCACTAGATAGCATTCCTTGAACCTAAGCCCTAATAGAGTTGACCAAGAACAGTACTCAGCTGTCATTATCACCTATGGGAAAATGCACGTGCCTCACAGGTGTGCCAGTATTGGAAAAACCAAGACCCTTAAGTGAAAAATGATGAGAATGTGATGTCTGCTTATGTCTGAGACCGAGGAAAAACATAGGAATTTTGTCATTTTCATCATTATTTAAGTTTTATTAAGGACCAATATGCACGTAGTGTATTTTACTGACTCTATCTAGTATAAATCAAGTTAAACTGATGGTTCTCAGAGGCAGTTAGACTGAACAGTTAAAGAAAAAAAAGGAAGTGGTATGATTTACCCATTAGCACAGATTTCAGAGGCAAGTTCAGTTAAAAAAATAATAATAGCTTACACTGCATAACAAGTTATGATTTATACTTCCCATAGTATTTCATATACATCAACTCATTTGCTACTTTCAACAACTCTTTGAGGTCTTCCAAGGTCCAACTTTGTAGCTGAGGGAAGAGAATGCCACAGAAATTCAACCAATCAATCAAGTATTTATTAAGCACTTGTATTTATTACATATTTATTATTACATTTATTAAGTATAATTAAGTATTTATTAAGTACTTGTGTTCCAGGCCCTGTGCTAGGTGCTGGTGATAAAAGTAAAAAGAATAAAACAATACCTTCTCACAAGGAAGTTACACTCTAATGGAGAATACAAGTAAATAAAAATATATAGAGCATAAATGTAGAGATGACTAATACAAATATGTGCAAAGTAATTAAATACAAGGTAGTTTGGGAGAGGGGACACTAGCAGTGTGGAGGATGAGGAAAGATTTCCTAAAGAAAATGGTACTTGAACAAAATATTAAAAAAAGAGAGAGACTATGTGAACAGAGACAAAGAAGAAATGCATTCCAAGAATGGTGGATGACCAGTGTGAACACAGAGACAGGAATGGAGCGTCATAGTGAGGAACAGAGAGACGCCTTGTTTGGCCGCATTGCAGAGGCAGAGTGATGTCCAGTCAGACTGAAAAGATAGGTTGCGGGCAGGTTGTGAAGACCTTTGGAAGCTAAGCAGAGGAATTTATACTTTATCTGAAAGGTAAGAAGAAGCCACTAGAGTTGGTTGAGTAGGAGAATCACATGGTCAGCTTATCACATGGTCAGCTTTGTTTTTGGCGACAATATGTAGAATGAACTATAGTGGTGAGAGACTTGACTTGAGGCAGGGCAATCAATTAGGAGACTATTGCAACAATGTAGGTGAAACATGATGAGGACCTGAACCAAGCTGGTGTCTGTGTGTGTAGAAAAAAGGGATTGGATGTGAGAACTCGAAGGGAACAGGTAAAAGTAGAACTGGTATAATTTGGTAACTGATTGGTTCTGTGAGGTGAGAAAGTTACAAGATTACAAACCTGGGAGACTGGAGGAATGTTGGTGCCTTTGACAGAAATAGGGATGAATTGGGGGAGAGGAGGAGATATGAGTTCAGCTTTAACCATATTGGGTTTGAAATATCTTCTGGGATATCCAGTTTGAAATGTTCAATAGACAATGATATGGGACTGAAGCTTGAGGGATATTGGAGAAGAATATATGGAACTGAAAGTCACCTATATAAAGATGATTGTTAAAATCATGAGATCTGATGGGGTAACAGAAAAAGCATGAATGGAGAAAAGAGGGCCGAGGACAGAATCTTGGGGAAGGAGTCATGATGTGGAGAAAGAGCCAGGAAAGGCACTTGAGAAGCACCAGTCAGATAGGTAGGAGACAAACTAAGAGAGAGGGCAGTGTCACTAAGACCCCAAAAGGAGAAACCATCCAGGAGGTGAGGGGTCATCAGCAGTGTCATAGCAGCACATAGGTCAGGAAGGATGAGGATTGAAAAAGGACTCTTCAATTTTTCAGTTAAGAGATCACTGGTAACTTTGGAGAGAGTGGTTTCAGTAGAATGATGCCAGCAGAGGCTAGATGTCAAAGAGGAAGGAAAAGCAGCAGATATAGAAAGCTTTTTCTTGGAGTTTTACTGAGAAAGGGAAGAGAGACATAGGGCAAGAGTTGAGGGGATGGTAGGGTCTAGTGAAGGAGTTTTTGTTTGTGTTTAAGGCTAGAGAAAACTGGGATATGTCCAAAAGTAGTAGGAAAGGAACCCATTGATAAGGAACTAAAGATTAAAGGGGAGGGTGGGAGAGAAGGGGATTGAAGTCACATTCTTGTGGAGAAGACAAGAGGAGATGATGTCAAGGACACATTTCTGTAAAGGGGTTGTTAGCCTTAGCAAGCTTGTACAGCAAGGTCATGACAGGCCTGGGACCAGGGCTTTGTGGATGTGTGTGCTGTTGTTTTGAATAGAAAGGATTCCTGGCTCAGATTCTTATAATCTAGCAAATAGTTTATTAATGTTCAGACTTCTTAAGAGTCTGCCCAATATGACAGATGTTCTAATAAACCTTGTCTTTGGCTGGAAAAAAAAAAAACAAAAACAAAAAGGATCCGTTCATAATTTCTAGTCTCCCTTAAAGAAAGAGAGTTTTAGATGTTAAGTTCAGTGAAAAAAATGACACAGGGTGACGTAAGATATTTGACCGTGTCTCTAAGAGAGTCCTCAACCATCCATCCTACCATCAGAAATGTAGTTTGATAGAATACAAAGCATCCTGGACTTGGATTCAGAAAACCTGGGTTGAAGGATAGGCTCCATAAAAACATCTAGTGAATAATATACATTTGGTCAGAAGTTTTTATTTGTTTGTTTTTAAACTGCTTTTTGGAGTAGCATACTGATTGTATTTTACCTATATCCAATGTTAGGACCACAGTCTTTTTTCTGTAGTTAATGTGGATTTAAATCAGCTATGTAGATTGCTAGTATGAGTTTATACCATGAACCATGAATCTATCTGGCAAGAGAAAGTATATGCGATTGTGGGCTTGAAGAAAATACTGCTTCTTGGGGGCAGCTAGGTGGTGCAGTGGATAGAGCACCGGCCCTGAAGTCGGGAGGACCTGAGTTCAAATCTGGCCTCAGACCAAACACTTGACACTTACTAGCTGTGTGACCCTGGGCAAGTCACTTAACCCCAATTGCCTAAAAAAATAATAATAATAAATAAAGGGGAAAAAAAGAAAATATTGCATCTCCTTTCCATTATTACCCTTTTGTTGAGTTTTCCTGAGAAATTTTGAGTACTGAGTTGAACACAGCCTAACAGAAAGAACTATTGGATTGGACTAAGAACCAGGGAAATCTGGTTTTCTGTTCTAGTTATGCCACTAATTCGTTGTACATAAAATCATCAGATATAAAGCCCTCATATATAAAAACAATGCAGCAGTCAACTAGCATGTATTAGTGATTCAAGATACTGAATAATCTCAAAAGTGCCCTTCCAGCAGTGACGTTCTGCGATTCTTTGACAATATCCTAGATTCTTCCTGTCTCCGTGGGCTTGATAATTTGTTGCTGCAGGTGGTCACTTTTATGTAGTAGGCCCAGAAAATAGGAAATCTTTCACCCTGAATTCTGATAGAGATTCCTTACTTCTTCTGATGGTACAGCAAGGGCAGCCACCACTGTGCCCTGAGTATTAATTCAGGCTGCTCCTATAATAACAATAATATATTACTGAATTATGTGGAGACAACCATGGCCCTCTTTTCTCCAGGTGGAGGGAAGCACTCAAAAGGTGAGTTTTTTCCCCAAGATAAGTTGCCTGTCACATTCTCTCTCTCTCTCTCTCTCTCTGTCTCTGTCTCTGTCTCTGTCTCTCTGTCTCTCTCTCTCTCTCTCTCTCTCTCACACACACACAAACACACACATACCATGTTCAATGTATTTGCTCTAGGTGTTTCTCTTTTGGCTCCTTCTTTAGGAAAAGTAGGAAAGGCACTGGGGAGTACAAAGAAGAACAATGCATTTTTACAGACTGACAGACCTCCTGTGTTTTTTGAGCCTGTGTAGGTCTTACAGAGATACTTCTTTGTTAAGAGAGTCAGGGCATGCTCTGATATACATTTGTGTATCTGTTTTGTTTTTTTTTAACTTTTAGAAAACTGCTAAACAAGCCAAAGAAAGAAGCCAGGAGAAAAGGAAATCTTTAGCTTCAAAGCATGGATCTGACATCACAAGATTTTTCATAAAGAAGTAGAATACAAACATATTTATCTGGAGCACAAATGGATCAAATATAAAGGAATGGGAACTTGTGAGATTTTTTTTTTAAGTTTCATATTTACTCTTGTTAAAACTTGGAAAAGGTCAGTCAAGAATTTTCAAGATTTTCTCTGCCACCATGACGTGAACTGCCTCAGTGTTACCGAAGGCCCACAACCATTGTGTCAAGGCACACTCATCAGGAGGTATTTTGTCATGAGTCACTGGGTTTGATGGCAGAAACGGCATCATTGCAGAGTACTAAATTCCCATGATCTTGGTTTTATTGAGAATTGCATCCATGTTTAGTGAGGTTTTTTTAACCTGCCTTTTTCTATTGGATCTTAATTACTACATCACACAGATTTTGTTTTTTAAAAAAATCTGCTTTGTTACTTTTGAGCTGGTGCTAGGATTTGTGTTGGCTTTGGAGTGATCTGGCTCTCAAATCGCTTGCAGTCCAAAAATACCTCTTTGCTAATATCATGCTTATTTGAAAATCTTGGGTCAGTCACTGAAACTATGCTGGTATGCAGGAAGAGACCCATATTTCCAAAATGTCTCCAACTTGGTTTCTTACATTATGCATTTTGCGGTTTGGTTAGCTTGACTTATTGACAATAAATACACATTTGAAAATAAACTAATATAAATACCATATTTATGGACAACTTGGTGTTTCTGGGCAAAGCTGCCAATAAAGTTATTTCAAAATTGACTTTCCATTTAAAAAGGAACACACTATTTAAAGACTTCATTTGACTGGTTTCTGAAATGGCTAAAATCAAAGTTACCATCATTGAAATATCTTCAGCATCAAACAGGTAAGCTTTTCATCCTAGCCTAAAGATTTCCTAGTTTTTATTGTCATTCTTTGCATTCTGCAATCATGGAAAGGTGGCACAGGATAATATTTCTTTATAGAATTGTGTCAAGTAGTAGATAACTCATTCACTGGATTAGTTTAGTGTTATTCTGTAAAGTAGGCTGTGTTTCTTTGGGCCTCCTGTCTTCTTTTCTGTATGAGCTGTTGGCAGACTTCTGCCTCTGTAGTTGGCTCACTTCAAGGTTAATGTAGGATTTGGCATAGTTGGTATTTCAGAAACACAGGAGACTATAATCAGAGCCCAGCATGCTTTATTTCCTGTATCAATAACATGGTAGCAAGTTACAGTTTGGTAGCTGTAGATCCCACCTGAGCAGTCTCTAGCTCTATGACTGCAAACTAAAACATTAATCATAAAGGAAAAGACATGTGAATTTAGGAAGTAGAACAGATTGAGATGAAATGAGCCAAGAGCATCTCCCTTCATGCCAGGTTTCAAAAATGTTGACCATTCAAAAAGTTTTACAAGATTAAATGACATCAACAAGCATCTGCATGCAAGATATTTAGAATCCCATACTCTTCCTGTCATTTACAACTTATCTTGAATGATGGAGTCACATCTTTTTCCAGGATGTTGTATTTAGCCCTTCTAAAGCATATTGAGGTTAAGGTTTTTGAGGCAGAAATCCAAGAGTTAAAATAGATCTGCTATCAAAGACTTCAGACTAAAGATCTCTGCAGGCGAGTCTTTTGAAATTGTTCTTTCTCAAGGGCACTTGCAAAACGGAACTATCAACTGAGGAGATAAAAATGAAAGTCCATTCCAAAGTACAAGGAGGGCACCAACCCAAACAATGCAATTCTCCAATAACAACAGTAATCCGGAGTGAGTTCTCAGAGAAGAAAAGTTGCTACAGTATAAGAAATCTATAGTGAATAGAAATTGATGACCAAGTAAAATGGTTCCCCGAATCTGAAAAGACATAGGAAGGTTATACAGTTTGAGTTATCGTCCCCAAATTAAAACAATACAGTGATTGAACTGGGAATTTTCATGCTGGGAATGAATCGAAGATTTGCTGTATTATAACCAAGAACTATAATTATGTTGTTAGATGGAGGCTTTCCTTTTACATAGAACGTTGGTGGTAGAGCTCTTAAATATTTTCGTTGCTTGAGAATGAGGTTTATGTCACAGGTTCTCAACCAGGTCCAGATGAGAAAAATGAGTACCAGGTATCAGGGGATCTTTTCTTGCATTAACATTGTTCTTGTTATATTTAGTAACACAGATCTGTAAACAGACTTTGGAAACAAATGAAGATGCCATAGTGGACACATTCATTTGGAATTTAAAAAGAAAAAAATTCACTCAGCAATCATTGCAATTAAATGTGCATATATGAAGTTTTTCTGTTAATAACATTCAACTTTTACCACTCCCCCCCATAAATGTTGATGGCACAGATTTTTCTGCTTGTGTCATGTTAATAAATTGAATTTCCTCAGATCTTTGAGTGTCATATCTGCTCTCATGTTATTGCCATTTTTAAAATAATTTCTTTAAAAATAAAAAACATAAACTCTTTTAAATTAAATGTCAAAAAAAATCAGTGTTTTTAGGCAATCCTAAATAAAATTTAAAACTCCTGTTTAGTAGTAGTATGTAGAATTCATGGATAGCAGACATCTGAATCTATGGAAAAATCTCATTTTCTTTTGCATATTATTAACCTGTCTTTCACTCAGTATACTGTTCTTTTGGACTGGAAAATTGCAAACTACTAGTCACTGCACAAATCCATTTAAATATCCAACTACCAGAAAATGCCTTATACTATATCAATTGTTTAAGTTGTTTTAAATTGTTGAGAATATTTTTCCACATTACTTGTGTTCTTGTTTACTACGAGCCAATTTTATCATCATGGCAAAGCATTCTGGGTTCAGATTACCCTCCCATACTACATTGCTCTTCTCATTCTCTGAAGTCATTGAATGTATCTGTGATGAAGTTTTTGGTTGTATATAGTGGCTATGTTCTTGTCACTTTAATATAATGTAAATTAAATTCTAAAACTTAAAAGGTAACACAAATCATTCTGCATTTACACTTCACAGTTTCTGTATATCTGGTTTCTCTGCAACCAAATTTCATCATAAGACTTTCAAAAACACCAGATGCTAGTATCCACATTTCAAAAGGAATAGGAATCAGTTTGAGCAGGCTCAGTTAAGGCCCTTCTTAAGTGGGAAAAAAAAAATAGTCATCCATTTTTTTGATTCAACTTAGTGAATAATGCATAGAATCATGGTCTCTCAGGGATGGAAGGAACCAGAGATGTCACCTAGCACAACTGTCTACTCAGTGTAGGAATCTGTTCAACAGCATCCCCAATAAGTACTCTTTAGCCTCTGCTTGAACACCTCTAGTGACAAGGAACTCACTATCTTATTTTGATCCAAGTTTTCCAAAATCAATTATATCCACTTTTAGGTCCCACTATTTAGTACAGTAGGCAGCTAGGTGGTGCAGGGGATAGAGTGCCAGTCCTGGAGTCAAGAAGACTCATCTTCCTGAGTTCAAATGAGGACTCAGACACTAGTTTTGTGACCCTGAGCAAGTCACTTCACCCTGTTTGCCTCAGTTTCCTCATCTATATAATGAGCTGGAGAAGGAAATGGCAAACCTCTCCAGTATCTTTGCCAGGAAAACCCCAAATGGAGACTCATTTCATGACTGAAACAAGGCAGGAATGCAGTTTCAAAAACATTTAGAAATTGGCTAAAATAATTTTAAACTGTCTAACATATCTAGAGCATGTGGCTCTGAGACTTTGAGACTTTGAGCGTTTGGCTAAACCATCAGGACAAAAACCTCAAAGGCAAATGGGATAGTTGGAAAGAGACTGAAGCTGAAGAACCTGTCTCCTGGGCCAGGCCCAGCAGGGTTGTCACACTCTATTGGTGAGGAGCCTGCTGCTTCCACTGAGAATGATGGCCCTGACAAGAACATAGGCCCCATTTTGCAGCCACTGAAGAAGACCTGTTACACTAATGGGGATTCCTGGTGTGCAGGTAGATGCACAAAGCAAAGCTATTTTTGTTATAGCTGATTGAGAAAGTCCCTATGCTGTTTTTATTGGAGTGGATAGCCTAAACTGTCTCTTCTGTTATTAGAAATAATAGAAAATGTACTCGGCATTCATTTTGTTTTACTTTTATTCTTTTGACAATGTTTTGAGTACTTAGTGTATATGCATCTGTTTAAAGAATCTTTATAAAGATGCTTTCTCCCTTAAGAATCTTATCAATTCAGAGTTGTTGTCTCACATCACCTTGCATGGTCTATTGTTAATAAGCTCCTAACCTATCTCTTGGCCTCCAGGCTATCCTGTTTCCAATCCCTCCTTCAGGTAATTTTCCCAATGTACCAGTTCCTTGCCCAGGCCAAACACAATTGGACGTATGAGTAAGTGACCTGTTTTAATTGAGACACTTCAGATGATCATCCTGCCCAAAAGTATCTTCCTTTAAAAGGGGATGCTGCCAGGATGCACAAAATCACCACATTAGTCACTCCTGTAAGAGCCCTTGAAAATGGAGACTATATTATTTGAATAAGGGTGCAATATCAGCTATTTACACTGTAGCATGAGTTAGTTTATCATCTTCATTGTAAACAACAACAACAAAACCAAGAGGTCTTGGAAGAAGAGGCCAAAGGACAAATTGTGGTAGGTCTGCCTGGGGTGGAAAAGGAGGAGGTAGAAGAAATGGAAGGTTTGCTACATTTCTCACTTGCCCTTCCTGGAAAGGCAGGCCTAGGTAGGATCCACTAGGCAGCATCAGAACACTGGTTTCTTGGGGCACAAAAATACACAAGTGAATGCAAGGTGACAGAATGGGATGGAGAGATGCTGGAAGCAACCCCCTTCCCACATTTCATATTTGGTCCTACTAATTATTATTGATCCACAAAGCAGGTAAGGCAGAGTACTTTTTACCTTACCAATGGAAAAATAAATAAAAGATACATTTTCCCTCCTACCTTGACAGAAATGTTCTCTGTCTTGGAAATTTATAAAGAAGCTTCAGTATATTTCCCCATCACCTTTTCTCTTGTGACATGGACACACATTTATTTGGCAGAAGTTGTTGCTAGGCAAGAAAATCCACATCTCTAGTTAAGCAGCTGTCTTTCAGACTTGTTCCAGGCAAAAATTGTGGAAAGTGGAAGCTCAGCCCTATTTCTTTTTGTTAATTGCTTCATTCAACATAACCTTCTCTCTGTTCTAAGTCTCTCCTGGCTTTTGAACATAATGCTTTCATTACCATGAGTCTAACTGAAGCTTCTAGACACCTGAACTGCTAAGAGGCTCACCCCTGTGGGGAAGCTAAAAGGAAAGTATTTGTTACAGCAACATGGAGAAAAATAAAGAACAAACCATCAATTCAGCTGTTTTTCAGCAAGTATAGTACATACTATTCACTGTGTTTGACTGATTTGCAGTCTGTGCTGCCCCATTTATCTGCAGGTAGCAGCCAGTCAAGCAATGAGATCACTCATCAAGGAGTAAACAGAAAATGGCTTACATCCTAACTGTCCCCATCATTTTAATGTTATTTTCATTACAAACAATCACCTTGCCTCTGGTAGTGTGAGTTGTGCTGGGAAAAGGCTATGAAGGGTACAGGAGAGGAGGGAGGCGTTTAGAGCTATCCCAAAATGGTCTGGGCTGCCTTAAGATGTTGGCACTCTCGAGGTGTCCACTAGAGGACCAAGCAAAGGCTACATGACCACTTGTCAGATATATTGGAGTGGGTCTTCCTTTTGTATATGGGTTGGACTAAAATGGCTGCCTAGGACCCTCCCACTCTAAAGTCTGGTAATTCTATGATTTAAGCATTTCTCCACAAAATACTATAAACATGGGAAATTGTGTGATGCCTTACCAAAAACATCTTTATTTTGCATGTTTATTTTTAGTGTGCGTCCTAAGATTCTATTTCTAATTCTCTGTCAATTAATTAAAGAAGGTTACAGAATTTTGCCAGTGTCTTTGAGCTGAAGACTCCAATGAAAATCCATTACTATTCCATTGAAAGGAGAAGAAAAAGGTATTATTACCTGCATGCTGGAATTAAGAAATTAGAGCTCAGTATCCCAAGTTGACCACTACCCTGTGGCTGAGCCAGCTTGCAGTGTTGCTTCAGAATTTGAGCTCTCTGCTGTGTTTTCTTATTAGAGTTGTTTTTCACAGCAGCATGATAAAAATAATCTCAAGCAGTCAGAATGAATCATAAGTATTGCCTACCCTTCTGAGTGCAGCACGTTCCATTAACTCAGTGGGTCAGTTCCCTTCTTCCTTAAGGTCAGTAAAAACTCTTAGAGTTCCATACTGAGGCTATTGAGATCATCTCAGTAGAATAATTCCTGTTCCTTTGCCCAACACTCCTGATTGTGAACCATCCTCATTAAGAGGCTAGGGCATATTATTCACCAGCTTCCAGAAGGGCTAGAAGAAAAGGATTGAAAGTTCTTAGTAGGTTGGGGGAAATGCTGCAGTCTCTTTATTTAAGATAGCATTGCATACCTGAAGTTTTTTATTTTCCTTGCTGTTTAAACAACCAATCTGATACATTCACTTTGACCTCCGAAGTTCCATGTAGACCTACCATCTTAAACCCTTCACTGTCAAAGAAATGTTTTCTCTTTTCAAGAGTGTGTGTTGACTTCTATGAAGATTCATAAGTTTTTGTTGTTGTTGTTAAGGAGGTTCACTGATTAATTCCTTTACTTTGCTGGTCTGTGATAGTTTTTAAGGCAGCTTTACATGGAAATTTCAAGAAATCCTTGTCATATAATATTATAAGTATATCCATACTATGTTGTAGAGATGACGTGGAGCCAGACAGCAAGGAGGACTGGCCCAGGTCCTGTTCTTTTCAGAGTCGGCAGAGTTAAATGGATGATACTAAAGTGGACCAACACAAATAAGCAGGCACCTAAGCACGTGACAGGATGAAACGAATGTGCTGGTAATAGCTGACGTTCACGTAATGTGCTTCACATAGAAAATCTCAGTTGGTGCCCTTAATAGTTTTTTTGTTTTGTTTTGTTTTTTTAATGTTTATGTTTAAGGACATTGTGGCTCAAAGAAAAAGTTGAAATGGCTTGCCCAGGATCATAGAGCTAAGTGGATGTGGCAGGCAGGATTTGAATTCAGGTTCTTTCCTGACTGCAAGTCTAGCACTGCTACGGTAAAGGAGATAAAATGATGAGGAGACTGAGGCCACTATGCATAAGCTCCCTCATTTCACATCTCCCACACTTAAAGAAGTCTGTACGTCTTGCCCCATCCCCGTTGCCTTCCTGCTAGTGGGCTCTCTAATCAAGGAAAAGGCAATGAAATGTACATGGGCTGAAGGACAGTCATCCACCATCACCCACACGTCCGATCATTTGCCAGGTCTTGTTATTCTCAACATTTCTTGAA